TGTAAGCTTTAATAAAATAAAATATAAAAAAAAACACGAAAAAATGTTAACTTCGGTTACTATAATGCCCTTCACAAATACAAAAAATTCCATAAAAAGACATAATTAACATAATAATGCTAAGACGGATCTGAAAATTTTCGTCCGATCTTATACCTTAACTTTGAAAAATAATACGAGCCAAATTTCATAAAAATATCTTGTTAAATAAAAAAGTTTAAAAAGTTTTATTCAAGGACTTGATTTTGATCGTTCAGTTTGTATAGCTATATGTTATAGTGATCCAATTTGAACCATATTTTCAAAGTTTGCAGTGGGACCTTGAGTCATAGTCTCTGCCAAAGTTTGTGAAGATATCTCTTCAAATTAAAAAGTTCTCCATACACGAACTTAATTTTGATCGTTCAGTTTGTATGGTAGCTATATGTTATAGTGACCCGGTATTGGCGATTCCGGCAAATGAGCAGCTTCTGTAGGAGAAAAGAACGAGTGCAAAATTTCGGCACGAAATCTCAAAAACTGAGGGACTAATTCGCGTATACACAGACAGACGGACGTTTCCCTGCTGCTGCTACATGACAAACTTAATATAACCCATTGAGGGTGTAATAATTACATAAATCAAATAAAGATACATACAGTACATACACGATTTAAATAAACTATAGTTGTACTAAGAGTCTTGTAAAATAATAATATAAGTATAATATAATTTATGCAAAATAAACTTAAAGATAAATGAAATATAAAATAAAAATAAAAAATGCAACAAATTCAATTAAATTCTTTATTCAGCATATTTCTCAATATATTATTCATTTAAATATTATAATATATATATATGTAAGTATAAATTAATAATTAATAAGAAGTAAATACATTAATAGTTAAAATATCGATTATAATTCGGCAAACACGTTATATACATTCGATCGAAATCATATAAGTTGAAATTATGAAAGTAAATGTATGTATATATGTAATATAAAGTAATTTAATTAAGATAGCAACTTAGTTAAATTATACAAACAAAGAAAAAACAGGAAAAAAAAAACATATTATAATGCAAATTATGCGCCTTTTTCAAGCTAGCTTACGCCTGTCTTACATACATTTAATGCCTCAATTTATATACTTATTTATTTATTTTTGTTTTAATTTTTGGTAAAATTCGAGTTTGCTACTTTTATGGGAGAAATGCGGTTATTATTTCATTCAAACGGTTGTGTATATCGGTAACTAAAATGCAAAACAGCATATCAACAAAAACAAATCGAAAATCGCTATCAGATATAATAACCAATATATAACCATTTTGTAACCAATACATAACCATTTTGTAACCAATATATAACCATTTTATAATCAAACCAACAGTTTGTTGACAGATGAGTGATTTTTGTTATGTGTTATATCGTTTTGCCTGTTTCATTTGCAAACTATGAAAAGTGATGTTACGTTATTTTGCATTTTAGGTGCATATGCATTATTATTTTTTTGTATACTACGTACATGTGAAAAAGCATATAATTATGTTTGTATAGAGTATACTTATTGTAGTTAAAACTTTAAACAAAAAATAAAAAATATATATATTCACTTTTATTACTTTTTACATTGTTGTTGTAAAATAAAAGCAGTAACTGCATTATGTTAGCATAAACGGTAAGAGTAAAAAGATTCGTTCTATGAACAAACGCACAAACACACTGCGATACAGAAATATAACTGCATACGTGTGCGTATGTATGTATGTGTGGATCACACAAGCAAGAGTGAGTCTAAAAACATTATTTATAATAAAACTTCCCACTTTTTTATAAAAAAGTAGTTGAAAAGTGACTTTACAAAGAAAAAAAGCCCCCTCCCTTATGCCAACAACAACACACAAAACGACACACATAAGCAATTGTAGATATGTATCTAGCGCAGAGTTTGTGTCAAAATAATAATTATTACTTGATTGTTATAAATATGTATATAAGTATATATTTTTGAAATTAATATGAATGTGGATATGGAACAGTTTCATTAATTCACGCTTATTTCTTATGTAGTTTCTTCATCTTCAACGCTTCTTCACATTTCATATATTTTCTTATTATTTGTATCGTAAGTGTATGCTAATTTCATTTCTCTTTCGCTTACAACTAACTGCAATATGTATTGTATTTATATCGTAATTTTTATGTATGTATGTATGTATATAAGTATGTATTGTTTAATAATTATTCGTAATTCCTCATTGGCGGCGACAACAAAAGTCTAAATATGTTCGATTGAGCCTCAATGCGTCGGCCTTGGAATCACGAAGTGAAAAAGAAAAGAAGCGTGACATATTTCTTCACCTACTTCTTTCTCTTCCCCCGCCCAGGCCCTGTTCATTGTTATTATTGAGTTTGTTAAGGACTCACGGTTGGTTGACTGCGACAACGGCAACGGCAGCTCACTCGTAGTCGTATTCGTTTAAAGCGCTCTAGTGGATTTTCGGTGCACTGCGATCATTGATTTTCTGATTTCGCTTCAGCGTAGCGCCGCGTTTGATTTGATCCATTAATGATTCATGGCAAATGCGGGGATCGGGCTGTAAGATTTTACAAGAAACAAATTAATAATTTAATTTAATGGTAAGAAAAAGGTTACATTTATATTAAAATAATTAATTTGAGGTTAGATTAAAAATAAAATGAGTTAGTACATAGCTTGTATGTATGAATGTGTGTTATATGTGTAACATTATGTGTTATCTATCAACACGTTGAGGACGGCGTGAGCCACCGGTGGGTCTCGCACGCACTCTGACATCTGCCTTAGCTATTTAGCGCTCTAGGAGCAGCCAGATAAACTGACTACTTAAGCTGCGCCGTTCTCAAAGTGTTATATGTAAATAGTGGTAGTAGATGTGGAATACAACAACTTCGTGGAACATGAAAATATTACTAGTTACATTACATAATGCGTTTGCACAGTTATTAAAAGCGAATTTCATTTTTCTTTTATAAATTAGCAAATGTATACTAAGCAGTGTTGCCTATCTGTTCATTAAACATTTCTGGTCTATAAATAAATTTTTAATTCCAAAATTATTATAATTAAAATACTAAATGTAAGATAAAATGTTTGGGACTAAAAACTGAAAATTTAATTAAAAAATTTAATATTTAATTTTGAATTAAAAAAATTATCGAATTTGAATTTCAAAATTGGAATTAAATTAATAAAATTTAAATCGTTTGAATGTTGTAGAGTATTGGTGGCTCTGCGCGAGCTTTACTCCAAAATGGTAGCACACGAAGTACTCGAAACATATTTTTTTAATTCTTAATTGTAAACTGATGTGAATTTCAGTGCGCTTTTTGGAATTAAAATTTTATTTTAAATATTTATGTACAGTATTTGGGTTTAGAAACTTTAAAATTATTTTAATTATGAATTTCGTTATTACAAAAGCAAAATAGTTTTTAATTTTAATACTTTTATTTTTAATGCATTATTTGCAACTTTCAATAATTTTATTTATTTTTTCATAAATCATGTATGTATGTATAAACGTTAGGGTGGGTTTAAAAAAATTTTCTTTTTTGCTTGGTACTTTGAAAACCTTGATTATTTTAAGGCAATTCTTTTATTTTGTAATGAATTATATAACTCAAAGAAAAATAATAATTTTGCAAAACTCATAGTTTTGCAGTTTTCTTTTCCAAATGTCAAAGCACGTATTTTTCGGAGTAAAAGGCAGAAAAAAAATCGTTTTTACCCACCCTAATGTTCGTATCTAAGTACGAGGTGTGTTCAAAAAGTAACGCGAATTTCGAATTTTTTGTGGCGTTATGTTGGTACTCATGTCTCTCACTTATGCCGACAAGCTCAGCCATTTTGAATGTTCATTTAATTGTTGACAGCTGCTTTGCTTGCACTTGCTTTGGATCGTCTTCGATTTTTACCTATTCAAAGAAATGGATCAAAGAACCTGAATCAAATTTTGTGTGAAAAACGAAATTAAGTGCGCGGATGCATTCCGAATGTTGACWRTGGCATACGGAGAAGCTACCTTGGACCGAAGCAACGTTTATCGGTGGTACAAAATGTTCTCAGAAGGCCGAGAAGATTTGCTAGCCCACTAACGATACCGCAGCCCGTATTCCCCAGWTCTGGCCCCCTGTGACTTTTTCTTGTTCCCTAAACTGAAGAGGCCCATGAAAGGACGACGTTACGCTTCTCTTGACGAGATAAAGACGGCATCGAATGAGGAGATGAAGAAGATAAAAAAAATGGTAATTTGAAGTGCTTCGAAGATTTTGAAAAACCGTTGGCACAAGTGTATAATATCCTGAATAAATAAATAATTTTTGAAAAAAAACACAAAATTCGCGATACTTTTTGAACACACCTCGTATGTTATATTTCAAGCTGGTATATCCCTGATCTAAAAGTACTAAAATGCTTCGATAATTTTTCTTGATGTTTACATCTTTGCATTAAAGAGGTTGGTTCGATAAGTCGTTAGTTTACAATAGACAAATGGACATTTAAAAAAAAAGCCCGATTTATTTTTCGGCATAGTTTATTTTTTACGTTCGTGAATAAAAAGGAATCATTCGGTGCTAAGTCGAGACTATAAGGTCAAAGATATTTTGAGTGCTCAAAAATGCAATTGTTTCAAACGATGTGTAAGAGCTCGCATTGCGTTTTAACGATGTCATAGATATGTATGATAAGGAAGCACCGTTATTGTATTTTTTTAACATTTCTCTTGACCAATCGACACGAGCCCGTTTTAAGCGGTCGTCAAATTGTGTGGGAAATAACGAAAAGCGAAAAGAATTTTGCTACAGTTAAATGTTGAAGTAATTTTGAATACCATACGATTGTGATAGTATCACTAAACACTATAGTTGTCGCAATCTTACGATAGATTATAAGATGACCTTGCAATTTCAGTTTGTTTGTTCTGCACGAAAATTGTCCCACCTGGATTGGATTTACCATACAATCGATAATTTGATGGGGCTCTGTCACCAAAAATTCAGGTAAGTTCTCTCCATTCTCTGTTGTCGAGTTCGTCCACACCCAAAGTTATAAAAAAAATAAGAAAAAGTGTTAACTTCGGTTGCACCAAAGCTAATATACCCTTCACAGGTGCATTTGGTTTAGTAAMTATGTGTTCAGTTTGTATGGCAGCTATATGCTATAGTAAGCCGATCYGAACAATTTCTTCGGAGATTACATTGCAGCTTTAGAAAATAATCTATACCAAATTTCGTGAATACATATACATATGTATGTATCTTATCAAATGCAAAAGTTTTCCATACAAGAACTTTTTTCCGGTCGTTCAGTTTCTATGGCAGCTATATGCTATAGTGATCCGATATCGGCAGTTCCGACAAATGAGCAGCTTCTTGAAGAGAAAATGATGTTTGCAAAATTTCAAAACGATATCTTAAAAACTGAGGGACTAGTTCGTATAGTTCGGGCAGACGGACAGACGGACATGGCTAAATCGACTTAGCTCGACAAACTGATCATTTATATATATACTTTGCAAGTAAGTGTCTCGGAAATATACCTTAATTTATAGTTATTTAAATATATTTTCATTAACTGCAAGAATTTAGTGGGTTAAACAGTTATGCGTTGTTATGTAAGCGTCTCTTTCGAGTATTCATGGGCAAAGAAATTAGTTGCGCTGACAATGCAAAGCGTTGTTATTTAAATATTATTATTTTCTCTATTCTATTATATTTTTTTATAAACGCAGTGCATAACAGAGCTTTGCAAGTTTTTAATATTTCTTTCGTTTTCGCATGCACTGCACAATACCTTAATGCGTCGAGGACTCTTCGGCGGAGGAAGTTGGCGGTGTCGGCGGTGCTTGTGATTGTGGTTGTGCGCAATATTGTGCGCTTGGGCGCATAAGTGTTTGAGGATTTTGATACATCTACGGGTGGGGCACATACATATACAAACATACATATATATAGAGAGTGATAGGTAGAAATAAAATGGTGTGGATGCGGGTGGTAAACTGGGAACTGGGATATTTTCAAAATGCACAAAATGCATGTTCATATTTTGGTGTGTAAAAAATAGTAAAAAAAAAAAAATTAAAAATAGATATATTTTTAATATTTATAATAATAAGAATACCTACAAGCCACGTTTGACCAAGTTTTTTAAGCTTTTTTTTTTTTTTTTGGATATTCAGTTGTTGGTGCAAGACTTACCAATGCTTTGCTATTGATTAGATTGCGCACAGCGAAGGCGCGTCCCGAGAGGCCCTGTTTGGCCAGCTTGGCGTTGAGGTTTTCGAGAAATTCAGCTTTGGTTTTTGAGCGTATGCTGCCGGCTTTCTCAATGTTTGAGCTGGCGTAACTCGCTGTTGTTGTTGGCCAATTCAGAGTGGTGCATGAATTTTGTAGCATTGTTTTTGTAGCGAAGCGTTGGTGATGTTGCAAATATTTGCCAATTTCGAAATTTTTTGTTGAAATATTTTCCCAATATTTTGTGTTTGTTTATTGTAGGTGCAAATAAGCCATTGGTAGTGGTGAGATAAGCATACAAATGTGTGAAGAGAAGAAATGTAAAGAAAATTGATTGATATTTAAAGCCATATTGGTACATTGTATAAAAGAACGGAAATAAATTGTGAATAGTTCAAAAAATCAAAGCAATAAAAGTTCAAAATAGTTAAAAAAAATGCAGAATGTTTAAATATAAAATATATTACATGGTAGATATGCAAAATATATTATGCATTGCAAAAAGGCTGCAAAAAAGTGCAATTAACAAACGCAACAATTTATCCAAATAATTGAAAAATATTAGAAATATTAAATATGTATATTATTAGGGTGGGTAAACAAAAAATTATATTTATTTTAAATAATATAATAAAATTAATAAATAAAATATAATAAAATAAATTTCTTTCGCTTGGTAAAAAATAGCTTCCTAGACACCTCTTAGAAAGTCCTTCCAAGTATGCGCTTTAGAATTTCTTTACTAATAGTGTGTGTTTGTAGCAATAAAAAATTCTAAAATATATTTTTTTTTATTGAAAAAAAAGGCTGTATGTAACCCCTTAAGCGGTTAGGAGGTATTCCTCCTCAAACCCCAGTGCTAGCCACATTTTCATTTTTAATTATTAAAAAAATGTAAGACAGACTTGCCTTTTCTTTTAAGCGCTCATGCTTAGAGAAACTTTCTTTGTGGTGTCAAAGAACCTATTTTTCAGCGACAATTTTTTTATATTTTTTTTTACCCACCCGAATGTGCATACATATGTATATTACAAAAAAATTGTGGTTATATGCATAAAAATAAATAAAATATAAATATAAACAATGCGATAACATTTTTCTTTTTTCTATGTAAATGAATAAATCTATATGCATATACATACATATATGTATTCAAAATTGTTTAGGTACATATATAAAAATAATTTAATGCCAGAAAAATGCAAAAAAGTGTATTACTATTATTATTATTAATAAAAAAATGTTGCCAACTTTTCTACAAATTTTCCTTAAGTCTATAACAATAAAAGAAAAGTATATATGAACATATGTATTATGGTTACACAAGCATGGTAGATTATTTATCTATAATTTCTTAATTGAATTTTAATTATAAAATATAAAAAATAAAATTATTCGAAAAATAGCTAGAGTCCAAAACGACGTTGCCACTGATTGAATCCCCTAACACCGTGGGTTCCAGTGTAGAGGTAGAGTGTAGAATTGACGCTGTTTAGGAACATTAAGTTAGGTAAGTAGAAAATTTGTCGTTAGGCCACGAATAATGCTACTTGGACAGCTAGAGACGCTTGTCCTCTTGATATGGATGAAAAGACTGCATATGGACAAAGCGCCTAGAACCTGCCACGAATTCATTGAGCTGGTTGATATTTACACCAGCCAATGCGCCGATTGCGTAAAAAGTATGGCTACCGAGATGCTTCAATTAGACTGACGAAAGCTGGACAGTGAAAGATAAATTGTTTAGATGTTTGCGTCCTTCAAAATCTTTAGATTCACTGCGTAAGTGTCAATGGGACAGTATCCAGTCAGCATGCAGTTCAATCGACTGTTTACGTTCCAATCTAGGCCAGCTGGCATTTGCAACTCCACAAGTGCTGGTTGAAGCCAATGGAAGATGTTCTGAGACTCGTCGCGCTGTGCATAACGAGAGCTTTAAGAAGAACTCCAAGGCAGCTCTTGAACTGGTACTAAACCTGCCACCTATAAACCTCTCCGCAACAAAATCGGCGGAACGACCACTAGCTGCTGGATAATTTACATAAAAAACCTTTTGGCATAGCTCGGTGGGTAATGACGGTTGGGCAAACATCGACTACATAATCCCACTTTTCAACTGGGAAAGAAGGTTCAAAATAAACATAAAAAATATGGTTGGCGTAGAGTTAGTTACGCACAACACTCTAAACATCTATACGGATGGCTCGAAAATGGACGGTGGAGTTGGTGTGCGAATACACTGTCCAGAGTTAGGCATAATGCAAGTTTTTAAGTTGCCGGACCACTGCAGTATATTTTAAGCTGATGTCTGTGCTATTGCGAAAGCCAGCAATCAAGGCGAGAAGTGTCTTGGGAATTAGGAAATCAGTGTATTTCCAGCAACAGCCGAAGGGATGATTACTTCTCTTGGACCCAGAAACTGAACTCCATCTGGTATAGCAAAGTACCAAAAACTAGCCCATGCGAGACTTATTGGCCTAGCAGTTTAACCTAACCTAATCAAATTTAATACAAACGATCACGTGGATTCCTAATAAAATCTATGTTAGTGCTTTACAAATGGAATAGTTGTATAGGATTATACCAGTTTATACTATTTATACCAGTTGTTTGTTCCATTCGTTACTTTCTAAAGTTAGAAAAAAAGAAGAGTTTTATTATGGAATGGGAATTTAGTTGTTGTTCTTGTTTGTATCTATCCTCTATTTGTGGTATTTAAAAAGAGTGTTAAATACAAGATTTTTTTGAAACACGGTGATTGGCTGATTCTACCTTATCAACATTATTATTTAATCTATATAGTATTTCGAGGTATATCACTGTTTCCATGAGCATCAAACTATTTTCTAATAATGGTTGACGTTCAACTTGACTCATTTTCGGGAACGCGCATCTCACAAAATTAGCAGGGATGTTCCGTTCCAGTATATGTACCCGGAACCAACACGAATTTTTATCCAATCAAAAACTATCAAATCGGAAGAATTCTACAAAATTATTTCAGGCATGTTTTCTGTCACTACAACAACAATAAAAAATCATAAAAACAGAAAATATTATGGATTCTTCTACAAAGGCAATCGTGTATGAGAGGACTGAGAGTTGTATACGGCAGAGAGGAGTGGCACTTCTGTTGTTTGTTTTATATTTTACAACAACAATTATGAATAGTAGAACAGACGAACAAAAAAAGTGATTTATTTTCATGTTTATCAAAGAAAGTAACAACAATAAATATGCAGAGGCAAATAATAGACACTACTTGAGTAGAGGAAAAGACTATTTTCTTAAACAAAATTTTGATTTAAAATAAACATGTGCAACTACAAATTAAAGGGTATTACAACAACAACTTCTTATTCCTCTAAGTGCAATTGATGATTTGAAAAGAGGTTATGAGTAGAAAAATAGAGGTCGGAAGAAGAACGCTGTGCTGTATGATGACGAAGGGGACGAGGAGACAAAATGCAGCGCCAACACGTTTTCTTACACAGGCGGGGACATATGTACATATGTACAGAACACATGCGCGTCACAGCTTTCAAATAAACAAACAAAAAATAATAATTAAAAAAGAAATAACAAAAGCAAAATATGATGAAGACCGTGGAAAAAGGCAAAAACAGAAGCGGCATGCAACGCGGTCAACGGTCACGATGCATAAATGGTGATGGTCAAAGCAAAAAAGGTTTCAACAACCGAACGAAACTCAAGACGGCCAACTCAAAAGACATTCAAAGACGAAAATACAAAATTACAAAACTCCAAACGATATGAAAAAAATTAAACGAAAATGCGCTCGTGAAAGCACACGTGACTGGATGCAGACAAAAACAAATAACGCGCGCTCACTTGGATTGTGCGAGGCGGCATAGTAACCATTGCCGGCTGCGCCGCCGCCGATGCCGCTACCACTGCCGCTGCTGTGATGTTGTTGCTGTTGCTGTTGCTGCTGCTGATGGTGATGGTGATGATGACTGCGCGAACTGGTGCCATAAATGCTTGCCAACGATGACGGCGACGAGCAGGTGGGCGATGCCGGCTGCGAATGCACCGACGCCGGCGAGTGACAATGTATGGTGGTGGTTTGTATGAACGGATTGGTGGCCACGAATATCTTTTGCTGCACGCTGGAGTGACGCGACGGTATGGGCGGTTGCCGGTGGTTACTCTGCAATGTGGCCGATTTTTGCTTGTAGGACATTTGTTGTTGTTGTTGGTGTGGCAGTGGCATCTGTGCGCGCTGGTTACCAGTCGCCGTCTGGGAATGTTGCTGTGATTGATGGTGTTGCTGAGCGGCTGCGTTGGCGCCGATGGCGGTAGATTGTTGATATTGTTGCTGTTGGTAGTGTTGTTGCTGCTGCTGATAGTGTTGTTGCTGCTGTAAACGCTGTTGTGCGAGATTCTTAGGTAATGTCATGGTGGCGGTGGGCGGCGCATAGGTGGCGCCTGCATTAGAGCGCATAGCATTTTTGGGCATGGTCGCGTTGGCATTGGCAGTGGCAGCATAAATGGATGAGTTCGTGGGTGGCGGCGGTGGATTTTCAAGCGGCGGCGGGCAGCTATGTGTGTGTGGCTCGCGATGATGTGGATGGTGCTGCTGTTGTTGTTGCTGCAGCTGCTGCTGTCTAGCGACACCACCGGCTGGTGCATAAGACGACTGATGCTTGGGCGTCTGCGCAGCTGTGACGTTTTTATTGGCATTAATTGTAGCGGCAGCAGTGGCGGCGATAATAGTCGAAGTAGAATTGATGGAGGAGGAGGAGGAAGTGTAAATATTTGTGTGCATATGCTCTTTAGGCGTTTGTGCTGCATTTTGCGATGTAACGGACTGATACTGATTACTATGCGGATTATGGTGATGATGATGATGTGGATGTTGTTGTTGTTGATGATCACGCGTGGATGTATGATAGTATGTGGCAGAGGCGTTAGCTTGCGTTGGATTTGGTGTTGGTGTTGCGAGTGCAACGGCCGTTGAGGCGGCATTATTTGCAAACGAACTGACTTTAGAGAGTAGCGATGAGGTTGAAGATGACAATGGGAAATGTGGTGAAGCATTAAAATTGGTGGTGGTAGACGCTGATGAAGATGATAATAATGATGATGATGATGATGATGGTGTTGTTGTGCATACAGAGACAGTAACAGATGATGATGATGAGGCTGATGCTTGAGCCGTATGAGTGGCATTTGCAGTGCTAAAACTACCATAAATTTTATTATGTTTCTCTATATTCGATTTACCGTCATAGTTTTGCTGCTGATGCATCGAACCGGCGGCGACTGACGACATCTGCTGCTGCGGCGGCTGGTGCTGTTGATGGTGAGGATGCGTATAGTTTCGCATATAGACTGGCTCACTTTGGTGGTGCTGATGCTGATGTTGCTGTTGTTGTTGTTGTTGTTGGTGCATATTGTGATGATTTGGTGAATTCGGTGTTGAGCCATAAATGCCATCACTGGTGTGCTGCTGTTGATTTTGCTTGCTTAGTCGCGCACTCAGCTGTGCAATCAAATTCGGATTGGTTTTCGGTTGTGTTGGTGGTATGACGTGATGGTGCTGATTGTGATGGTCATTCGTTGGTGCCGGACTGCCCGAACGGAAACTCGACATGCTTGTGACTATTTTCGGCTGCGCATAAATGCCGGGCGATGAGGTGCGGAATGACTAAATGGAAAGAAAATATAACAAAAAGCATAAATGATGGCATCGCAAGGCAGAAACGATGTTGATGATTTATAGGAAAACAACATTTAATGCAGATGGACATTTTGTTTCGGTTTTAATTGATTGATGAAGTGTCTTTCTACCAGGATATTAAACACCAGTGAACAAGTTTCACAAATAATTACGTCCATATATGTACATATGTATGTGTTTGTGCAAATTACAACAGTTAATATTATATTAAACATATATATGTGATTACGCTGTGTCTTATATGTATGTGTGTATGTATTTATGGTGTGTTAATATGTGTTTAAAATTAGATAAATTAATGCTTAAATCTTATCAATTAATTTATAAAATATAAAATACATTTTTATAATTATACATATATTATTACATATAAATTTAGTAACGGTGTAAATAGTGTAGACATAAAATAAAAGACAATTCGCCATAACGTGTTAATAGTTAAATTGAAATGAATTTTTGAAAGTAAAAAAAAAAAAATTATAATAATAATGGTATTAATATAAAAAAATTTAAAAAAATAAAAAAAAAATAGTAATAATAATAAAATAATAAATATGTAATAAAAAATAAGCAGTCTTTAAAATCAAGTAGTAATAATTATTATGGAATTTTTTTTGCCGAAAAATATTAAATAAAGATTCAATTAAAATTATTTCTGTTTTTTTTCGCTAATATTAGGACTTAGATATATAATCCAAGCTAACATCTAGAATTTGTGTTGAAGTATTATAGCTAAACAAATAATTACAAAAAAAAATTAATAGTATATTTAACTACGTATTAATGTCGGGTTTTCCAATGAACAAAAATTAAATAAATAAAGCAAGGTTCAGCATACTGCAATCTATTAATTATATGGGAAAGAAAATATATTAATTGCGTGATATCCGAGCGAACTAGATAAAAGCACTTTCAGAACAATCAATTGATGCCCAATGACACGACTAATGACCGAAGGAAGGGCCTATTTTTCCAAATCCATAATTGCATGAGGCTAGAATCGGGTGTTCGTTATTGCACAAGTGCATCTTATTTTTCCAAACGCCACCTGAGATTTCAGTTTTTCACATAAAAAAAAGCGTCCAAGCCAAACAATTTACAGTGAATTTACATAGTGCACCATGACGTATGAGCAACACGGAATGCATAAATCAGGGGTTGGATTCACTACTCCCTCGAAGAACTGCAACTGACCGTTGGCAAGCTCAAAACTAATCGGCGCTGTACGCAAACCTCGAAACTGGTATATTTCCAGAAATTTCGAAGAAACAACGACTTCTCCTCATCAGTAAAGGGAAAGTGGATTCCAGCTTGCTACCAGCATACCGCCCACTGTGCATGCTCGACACAGCAGGAAAGCTGTATGAAATACTACTTAAGCCTAGACTGGAAGGGGCTATCAATGAAGCATGCGGGGGCTATCCGAAGCATCATTGAGAGTGTAGAAGTCGCACACCGTAGATCCCCCAAAGAACAGGTGGCGCTAAAAGAAACTTTCGATGATTTTTGGAAAATGAAAAACTTTTTTAAAAAATGAAAAACTTTGATTCTGCTTGTGGATTATTTTTATTTGGTCTTTTCAATTTTTTTACATTAAGTCGAGAATATGATATCATGTGCCGCCGTCACAGTTGATTGTCATTTGAGCCCTTTTTATGGCATTTTCCATCACTTTGGCCAGAACTTTCGGCGATAGGTCTTCATATTCTTGACGGTTATTGTCTTTAAGAGCTGCAAGAGTCTGAGGCTTATTGACACAACCCGCCCAAACTTCAAAAAGCACACACAAATAAGTCTGGAGCTGTCAAATAAAGCGATCTTGCTGGCCAGTGCAAATCGCTAAAACGGGAGATTAGGGGCCCGGGAAATGCATCCTACAGCATATCGGTTTGTGGCAAAAAAGTCGCCAGAGAGCATACCATTGTTTATTTATGTGTATTTCGCATGTTTTTACTACACAAATGTCAAAACAGAACTTTCATTAGAGGGTTTTCTGACTTTTGCGCCACCCTATACAAGCGAATAGGTCTGTTAGCGACTTTAGATGTTCAAGACGCCTTTAAGAACGAAATATGGACGGACATGATCGAGGCTTTAGAAAATAAATTTATTTAAATTAAAAAAAAAAAAAAAATGTATCCCCAATTAACTCAATGCTGAACAGATGATACATTTTAGGAGCAGACCTGCAGAACATTAATAATGACGGAACACTAAAACTTGTAATGCCAGACGAATCATATTTAATTGGCTACGCGGACGAAATGTTAGCAGTAGTCACAACCTGAGATACACACTAAGTCCGAAGAAAGCTGAATCAGGCATTGACTCAAATAACCTCCAGTTCGCGGCAGAAAAAATAGAGCTATTACTGCTGACGAACAAGCTCATTTCACTCGTAATAAGTATGCAAACGACTAAGGATATTCTAAGGACATAAAAAGCTGTGAATTACCTAGGCGTAAAACTGGACCCAAGATTAACTTTCTGGGTACAAAGCCGGAATGCCGCAGGAAAGACAGCGAAAATCACCTCCTATCTTAGCAGACTAATGGCCAACAGAGGAGGAAGAAAAGAGAAAGCTCTTAATGTCAACAACCAGCAGCGGCTTACTATACGGAGTAGGGAGTAGATCTTTTGACAAATGTGCTAAAAATGGAAAACAGATGTAAGGTATTGGGCAGAGAGCAGTGCATCGTAGCCAACAGAATTGCAGCAGCTTACCGAACTGTATCAGGTGATGCAATATTAGTCACAAGTGGTAATTGACCTTCTAGCAAACGAAAAAAAAAATAACTGTGGGAGCTAGAAAAAACCAATAAAGAAAGATGTAATAACAACATAGGATCAAAGATAGGAGAGTAAGAGTTGCTATCCAGACACGGATATTTCAGAAAGTACCTTCATAGAATCGCTAAGTCGAGGAGCCTTTATTCCTGTATAACGAGGCGACAGAAGACGACGCAGAATCCACATTCTTTTAATGTGTGCGATGGCAACAGGAATGTACTGCTGTTTGGTTTAATAATTGCGGATAACTTAATCGTTGTCATGCTGAAGAACGAAAAAAACTGGGTGATTGTGCAGAAATACGTAGCAAGTTTGTTACGCCAAAAAAAAAAGAGGGATCTGGACGCAGGTGCACAGATGTAAATCTGTCAATGAGAAAAATAGAACGCCACTTTGAAGTAATGCAAATGCGGGTCCAGAATGGGCAAGTTCCATATACCATTGCTGTGACGACAGCTCTGATGATGCCGAAGGCATTCCCCCTCTTTACTACTCAGGCTCAGTGTTAAGCCCATTATTATAGAATCTCATGTATGACGGGGTGCTAAGAAGACAGCAACCACTAGACGTGAAACTAATAGCGTCTGCAGATGGTCTCATGATGGTAGCATTGGCTAAACAATTAGTCGACCTAAGAAACAAATGCATTGAGTGCTTAAATAATCAACGCCAATGGTTCTCTTCATTTAGGAACATCTAGCTTATACTTCCGGTCAAGTAAGCAAAATGTATTATGCTCTATCAAGAATGATGACCAGTAGAGGCTGCTTCCAGCCGGCCATTCTTAATAACGAAAGTCAGGAGTTCTGTAATTATCGGTATGGATACAGGCAATGAATATAAAAGCGTATGCTAAACATATAATCGGAGTGCTTTCCGGACTATATATGAAGTATTAGAATTTTTGTAACGTTTTAAACGGTATAAAGTAAAGCTTATAATATTAAATGCGCTTTAAGTCTAAGATTACTCAATATTACAATACAAAAAATATCGGAAGCATGAATTATCCCTTGTTAGTAAAGTTATGCGGGTGAATTCATTTTACTTTTAGTTTTTAAATGACGTTACTACTAAAGTTTGCTTGATTCCACTACAATTTTTGAAAAATTTCAATACTTTTTAAAATAATTTTGTTAGCACTACGACACCCAGTATTGAATCTGCCGGCTATTGCTGATGTTGCAAATGCGTTGATTACATACGTATGCAGGCGTGATGAAGCTGATTAGTATGAATTACAGTTTACACTAGATTAGAGTATGGTACAAATGACGCTGCGGATCACACCAAAACTGGACTTACGGCGTTGTCGCTAAACACGTTCGCCTCATCGTCATTATCGATCATGAGCGCGTCTAAATGATGCGCTAGTTGYTGTTGTTGTTGTTGTATTTGCGATGACTGCTGCTGCGGCGGCTTATGCTGCAGCTTGGGGGAGTGGTGCAGGTGCTGATGTGACGGCAAATAATCATAAATCTGTTCATGTTGGCGTTTTTGTTGAAACTGATTGTTGTTGTTGGTGTGTTGATATTGTGTTGGATGCGGTGTGGATGATGTAGCTTGTGTATGGTATTGGTGATCAGCAAATTGTTTTTGTTGTTGTTGTTGCTGCTGCTGCTGCTGCTTAAGCGAACGCTGTTGATTGGGATTGGGTGGCGGTAATGGTGGTGGCAACTCTATTTTGCTATGCTGGAAATCGTATGGTGGTGGTGAGGTATATGATGGTGACACCGGTGGATTGTTTGTCTTTGTGGGTGTACTACGAAGCGTTGTGTGCACTCCATACGTGTCCGGCAGTGCATTGGACTGCAAGTGTTGTGATTTCGTTGGTGTTGTTGCTATTGTTGTTGTTGGCTGCATAGTAACGGCATCATAGTAATAAATAGGTGTTGGTGTTATTGGCAATGTTTGATAGGCAGCTTCATTAGCAACGGCATTAGCATGATTAACATTAGTAAGCGGCATTTTGGCAGAGGTCAGTGGGGTGGTGGTCCTGCTGACCTCCATATAGGGATTATAGTATGAGTAGGCGTCGTAATGAAGCGTCTGTTCAGTGTTGCAGTCGGGCGGCAGCAAAGCGGTAGAGGAGAATGTCTTAACAGTGGTTGAGTAAATATTCTGTTGTAGTTGTATAGGTGTTGGTATTGGTGATGGTGATGACGGTGTTGGTGAATACTATTGTGGTGTGCGTAGTGGTATTGGTGCAATCGGAATTCAATAATGGTATGGATTTTGTTGTATTGAGAAGGGGGGAAGCAGAGAGTTTGTGCCAGCAGATAGGTGTGTATGTGTGTGTGTACAGTGTTTGAATTTTATTTTTCAATTGAAGCGCAGACAATTTGCATATTTGAAAATAAATGTTTTGTAAAAGAATATGTGAGTATAAAAAATAATTATAAGATTAGCATGAATTAAAATAAAATAAGAAAAAAAAAATTTAAATGAAATATATAACAATATAAAGTGTGGTCGATTAAAATTAGATTACTGGTAAAAGTAAGAATTTTTGACTTTAAAACCGCATTCAAAAACTAATATTGAAAGAATTTTTTACTTAAAAATCGCATTAAAAAGTAAAAAATTTCAAAAAAAAAAAATTTCCGTTAAAAGTAAGGTTTTGATTTCAAATATTGAAACAATATGTTTTTCGAACTTAGAAATAACTTGATTAAAGCAATTTCGAAAACAAAATTACTCGCAAAATTTTGAATTTTTAACATCAAAAATCTACCACATTGGTTTTTAAACTTAGTACTAGCTTGTATGAAGTTAAAAAAATTTCGAAAACAAAAAAACTGGCAAAAGTATAATTTTTTGAGTTCAAAAATTAACTCGAAAACTAATACAGAACTTAAAAATAAATGATTGTAATTCGGGATATAGAATAATTGTGTTTTCGAGTTCGAAAATTTTCGAAAACAAAATTACTGGCAAAACTATGATTATTTATACTTTGAAACCCTTTATTTTGGTTCTTGTTGAAGAAGAATTGGATTTTCAAACTTAGTACTAGCTTTATGAAGTTAGAAAATTTTCGAAAACAAAATTATTGTGAAAATTATCATTTTTTCACTTCAAAAGCCCACTCAAAAATTAATATAGAACTTGAAAATTATTTATTGAGGTTTGAGATCTAGAAAAATTGGATTAAAGAATTTTCGAAAACAAAATTCCTGGCAAAAGTGAGAATTTGTCCAGAAAAATCCACTCAAAATCCACTCAAAATCTCGAATTTGCTCTATTTTGGTTCGTTTTAAAGAAATCTTGTATGAAATTAGAAAATTTTCGAAAACAAAATTACTGGCAAAAGTATGACTTTTTACTTCAAAACTCCACTCAAAAAATCATTTCCAGCTTATTTTGGTTAGAGGTTTAGAACATTTGTTTTTCCAAACGAAATTTCTGGCAGAAATAAGAATTTTGAATTAACAAGGTGAACTATATTACTGAAATTTTAATTTTTTTTATGAGCTTAGGAAATATTTAAAGCCCTTGGAAATGCTTGATTGTTTTTTGCAAAGTTTGAAAAGTTTTAGCGAAACTTATCTATATGAAAATTTGGATTATTATATTAATAAAATTACATAATTTAAATTAATTAAAAATAAATATCAACCCTTTAAGAAAAGTATAGATAACTGTAAAATAAAACTTCAAGGGAAAAAGAAAATGCTCAGAACCACGTGGGCAACGCTTTCTACTAATTCACAGTTGCTGTTGCTATGTTAGATTGCTCGGGAGATACATATATGCGACATAGGGACGTTGCACTAAATTTGCTCACCTGCAGCGATTGATGTGATTGCTGCAACTGTTGCTGTTGGTGTTGTTGCTGTTGCATGTGACGTATCGCATTCGGAGAAGCGGGTTTGTGACGCATAGCCGATAACGCTTTCACAGTTTCGGCAACTTTCAACGATGAACTCGGTATTGCCGAAGACGAAACAGCTGATGGTGGTGGCGGTGTGGGGGTCGACGATTGTGCTTGTCTGGAGTCTAGCAGATAAGCGGGTGGGGGTGGCAGACCGTCAACGGTATCGTAGTGGGAATTTTGTATAGTTGTTGTCGTAGCTAGCGGGAGCTGTTGGTTGCCATGAGAATGTAAATGATGAAGTTGTTGAGGGTGTTGATAGTGTTGTGGCTGCTGTTGAATTTGTTGTGGCGATTGCGTAGCCTAATTGCATTTTAGCATACGATAATGTTGCAAGTAAATGTAATTAAAATTAAATAAAAATTGCAAAATAGTGGGAGATAATTAAAAAATAATAATGAGAATTAAAAAAAAAACTACTTATACAATTACAAAAAAAAAAAAAA